CACTTGGCTGACCTGTAACAGAAAGAAAAGGCTCCGGCGGTGGTTTGTCCACCCGGGGGCACTCCGACGATCAAGTCAGTATATCTCTCAAAGATAAATCAAGTGCTAAACTCACAAGCTTGAGTATCAAAAGCATACCTTAGACCCATGGGGGTGCCTCTCTTTTATAGCCAATACAATCCTAGTCCCAATAGGAGCCTGGCCCTAATGGACTTAGGATTACTGCTAATCTGGGACTCCCAGTGGGATTAGGATAAACTCTCTAAGAGTCTTATCTTTACCCAAACTGAAGTCTTCTCCCAATCTAGGACTCTTGTCCATATCCAAGTTGAGTTCCCTCTTTATTCTAAGACTCTTGTCCCTTATCCACTTATCTCGGATTCTGATATCTTCGGGGATAACCTCGGCCTTGCCGAGATCACCTCGGCATCACGATCAGGACACGTGGCACCTCGACTGACACGTCGGCGTCACCTTGCCACGTGTTGGTATTCAGAAAATATATCCCCACATTAACGATCCAAATCTCAACTAGAAAGTTGGTGAAGTTGGTGAAGTTGGCACCAAGAAAATCAGACAATCGTATGCTAGATCAAATTAAGGAAGTTGGTGATGTGAAAAGTAGAAATAAAAAGAAAACAAAAAAAAAACAAACACCAAACAAGGCTCAAACAAAACTAAAGAACCAAACTGCTACCAACCAAACTGAAAGCAAAATCAACTAATGGCAAAAAGCACAGCTCAGACCAAATAGCAGCAGCAGATAAAAGCCCGATTCTCAGCCTAATCATCTGCCACTTTCAAAACTAGCTGCAGCCCTCATATGCATTACTTTATTTGATCCAGGTTGTTAATGAAGTCATTAACAGAGTAAATCATATCCTCATATGATTGCAATAATTTATACCACAATTATATCATATGATGGCTGTCCATGCAATTGGACCTGGTTGCTTTAGGCCCTCCTGACAACTTCGCCATGTTTATTAGTTTGATTTTTAGAATTTTTAAATAAAAATAAAATAAAATAAAAAAGGAAAATTTACCCATAAGTCATAGTTTTTGAAACGTTGAACCATTTAGTCCTAAAAGTTTTCTTATGCTCCATTTAGTCCCATTTTTACATCAACATGATGTGAATGATGTAAATGATCTGATGTTTCATTCTATAATTTCAAAATTTATTGAAATCTGATGAACATTAGATGTTTTTCATCCTATATTTTCAAACATTATTGAAATTTGATGAACATTAGATGTTTTTCATCCTATATTTTCAAACATTATTGAAATTTGATGAACATTAGATGTTTTTCATCCTATATTTTCAAACATTATTGAAATTTGATGAACATTAGATGTTTTTCATCCTATATTTTCAAACATTATTGAAATTTGATGAACATTAGATGTTTGAAATCCAATGTTTGTAACATGACTCTGATGTTATTAACATTGTAATGGGACCTTTCAGTCTATAAGAAAACTTTTAGGACTAAACAGTGCATAAGTTATTAATTTGGGATTTATTGGTGCATCCCCCAAATCATAATTGAATTTAAAAGACCGTCTGTAATTGGTCTAATTGACTTAAATTACAAACTTTAGAAACAAAATTGATATAATCAATACTTGAAAGAGCAAAGTGACAATAAACACGTAGTGTAGAGACCTGGCTTGTTCTTGAAGTTGTGCCCATTGCCCAAGATTGGTTTCGCAGAAAACTCCATCCTTTGTATTCTTGTTCGCTTGACTCGTCATTTGCCACCTATGTGGTGGCAGTTCCGTAATATATGTGGGAATGGAACCTTAAGTATGAAATTAAAATTTCACATAAAAATCGACTGCTCTTGCCAAAAATTTTTTTTTTTTATCAGTCGAAATCCATTGAAGGAAGCTAAAAACGGCATTTACAAAGGCCAACAAACGACCAAGCTTATACCAAAACAGAGTAAAGAAAATTACAAGAAGCACTTTGGAGATAAAATATGAAAATATTCAGAGGCACATCATGTGCTTGGGCTCGTACTGCACAAGAAGAATCGATCAAAATCGACAATGGAGCCTGTCTGAGATAAATCATATAATTCAACCACAAAGTTTGGAAAGCCACAATCTAAGCACAGATGACCCCAAAATTACAAGCAAAAATCAAAAAAACAGAAAAAAAACAGAAAAGAAAGGACCTTATCCCAGAATCCATGGCAAATCTGGTGGTGGAGAGGTGGTAGAAAGAGCAGATCTGATGCCCAACACACTCAGGAGATGGACGATCTGGCAGATCTGGTAGGGCGGAGATGGCGCCAATGGAAGACGAAGGACGAGCTCGACAGATCTGGTGAGGCACTGGTTGGAGAAGTCAGAGAAGAGTGAGGATGAAGAGTAGAGTTCCACCAAGAAGGGGAAAAGGACCTCACATGAAGGGAGAGATGGAAAGACTAAGCTTCCAAAATATTATTGAGCCAAAAAGGACAAGAAAAAACCAAAAAGGAGGGGCAGAAGGGAGGAAAGAGGCTGCCGGAGACTCAAGCCCCCCTCCCCTGCCCCAAGATGCGCCTTCGGAGAAACCCTAAGAGATGTAGAGAGAGAAGTTTGAGGATCAATTTTTTGCTCTTGCCAAAATTTGTGAGGCATCATCTCCTACTCTACACAATGACATATGCCCATCATCTTTCAATTTTTTTTTATTATAATTTTATCCCTAAATTAAATTACTCTTTTAGACAATATAAATCCTAACTTTTTAAAGTATAGCAATACCATCACCAGCCACCGCATCTACTGCCTACGTCGGACTCTGGTGACGCCATCTCTCTACCCTCTAACTATGGCGACCGTCGCCTTCTCAGCCCCGACTTCGCTGACCGCTGTCTCGCCAATCTCCATCATGGCTCATCACCTTTCTTCTTCTTCACGTCTCTCTATCTCTATTTTTTTCTCTCTTCTCCTTTTTCTTAGCTACCGCTACAACTCGGTGTTGAGTTAAGAGAGAGATATCTAGGGTTTGGGTTTCTAGATCTAGGGCTTGAATAGACAAAGAAGAAAAAGAAGAAGAAGAATAGAGAGGGTTGCGGAAGGGGGCGGAGGACGGTGTACGACAGAGTTGGGAAGAAGGGTTGGTGAGTGGTGCGATAGAGCTGTAGAGAAGGGTTGGTGGGTAGTAGATATGGTGGCGGGGACTAGGGAGGATTGGTGAGATTGGCAGGAGAGGAGAGAGGCCATGGAAGAGTGGACGAGTAGAGGAAAAAGGATGGCCACTGGCTGCCGACGGCCGGTGGTGGAAGTGCTTAGGGTTAGGGTTTTGCTAGAGAGGATAAAGGTAATTTCGTATTATTTGAAAAATGATAGTGTGTATTAAGAGAAAATGGAAGAATCTAAATTGAGTGTGGTGTGAACTAAGAAAACAATATATATTAAAAAAAATTGTGAGGTGGAAATAGAATTACCATAGTTTATCGGGGTCTAAGGGCCTTATTACACTTTAAAACAGAAGGACTCATCAAAGTAGCTTGTATTCTTTAGTTTATTCCTGTAGCTTCTTCTAACATGTAAAGTAGATGATATTGTCTCAAAAATATTAAATGCAATAGCCATTAAAAGCAACTTTATATTGTTACTTTCAAATGACTCAATCTGTATCATCCAAGAGAAACAAGTGAATTAAGGAAGAAATTAATAATAATAATAATAATAATAATGCCAAATACTCTTACAACTCTTCCTGATTGGATATTATAGGGACTAAAATAGCATAATATATGCAAAATATTATAGGGACTAAAACAACATAATACATGCAAAATGAATCATAATTGAATTTAAAAGACCGTCTGTAATTGGTCTAATTGACTTAAATTACAAACTTTAGAAACAAAATTGATATAATCAATACTTGAAAGAGCAAAGTGACAATAAACACGTAGTGTAGAGACCATAATATATTTAATCCTTCAAGGAATGAGTCTAAGACTCTACATGGTCTAGTGCACTTTATCACTTTAAAACAAAAGACCTGTCAAGGCAATTCTTGTAGTGGTGTTGTGTTGGTTTAAGTTGCTCACATAGTTGCTTAATTGATTTTGAAATCCATAACTGTGAATCAATCATCATAAAGAGAATTTCAACTAACATGACCAGAAGTTGCCAAAGCCCTTCATCTAGGCACTGGTCAGCTCATTATATCTGATTCATGTAAAAGAGCTCTTGCCCCAGTAGAGAAAAACTGTAAAATAACATGCACGAGTGCAAAAACACTCACCCCCATTATTAAATATCAAGTGAAATTTACTTGCATCCAGTGGTTGTGGTGATAGCAGCGGCCACAGTACAAAAATTACTCGTCTAGGACTCCAAACATTCTGTTAACAAATAATTTCTAAACACTCGTGTTTTTGTTTTCTTCACTCCGTGGTAGAAGATTGACCATGGTATCAAGAGAAGCATATAGATCAAGAAATTAATCATAATATTGATTCCAATTGCTTCATTTCTGGGTCCAAATTTTCAGGTGCTATATCTTCCTCTGGGACCCTATATGCATCAGCAATAGCCTTTCCTTTGGCCAGCACATCAGATGGAACAGTTTCGAGCAAGCTGTAGAATCAAATATACTAATTATAGCTTTCTTCCAGATATGTTAGTTTAAGAAAAGTGAATGAGGTAAACATACAAGGGGAAACTGTTAAAAATGCACATTATGTTTGTTATAATTGAATTTGTAAGTAGATCAGCATCTCAAACCATCATTACCCATCCAATGCATCAAGTGCAATACTAATCTTTGCCTTCATAGATTCAACAGAGGCTTCTGGATCATTCCTCGATGCATGCAGGAACAAAGAATCAAGTTCTTCCAAGGCTCTTCAAATGAAAAATCCACTGTTATTAAGAAGTTGGTTTGACAACAATGTTGTAACCTTGATTACGTAACTGTACAAGATTTAACTACAACAATATATCTAAGGCGTATTTCAGTATTATTTCAAAGTTTGTGCAGTGCCAATATTAGAGATTTACGGTTGGTGATTCTGCTCTCCACATGTGCACACTTTTACTGTAAATTTCAGCAAGTAGGCCAAAAGAACATTCATCTTCTGACTGGGAACTTTGTTATGACATATTTGAAAACTCAATTTTGATATTTGCCATGCAGCTGCAGCGGCATCATTCCTCCTAATGAATCAGTATGACTGAACTTTTTAATTACTAAAATATAACTCCAAGATACAGCACAATGGTGAATAGTGTGTGATTCCAAATTTTTTCTCAACTCACTAACATTTTCTAAAACTGGAAACGAAGGAAAGCTCTCACTTTTTTTCCCCCAGATAAATTGCTCAAACTTTACCTTAAAACCTAGGAAAGATGATTCCACAGTTTGTCAATCAGACCCTTGATATCAAGTACATCAAATAATGTGTCTTGCTCCCACAGACTGCTCTGAGCAAACAAAATTTTCAATAGACATCTCTAATGATCCAATTGGATTTCATCTGACATAATGAAACTCCTGGGCAGTGATACAACAAATGACTATTGTTTTCGGTCTTAATATATCTATTTGGTTGCATTTAGATCAATAGATTTCAAATGAGTGTATTGCAAGTTCAAAGCACAAATAGATATTATCCTGAAATTTGTGAAAATAGTACCTGAGACATTGATCTACATTCTGGCCAGCAATTTTACCATTGCCACTGTCAGATGCATATTGTGCTACCTGTAATTTGAAGGAAATTAAAAAAATTATAGCAACTAATACGCAAAAAGTTTCCATGATTGAGTTTTCTATCTTAATATAGATTCCAATTTGACACCAATAATGAATAATAATACTGTTTAGTATGCAAGAAAATGTCCAATATCTTAATGTAAACCTTATTGTAACTCAAATACCAAGTTATGGATAATGATTTTCTGCGTAACTTCTTGTGTCAAACCTAGTTCCCTGAATTATTCCTCATTTAGTTTTGGTGCTTTGACATGATAGCCTTAAATTTTGTCATATTGCCATCAACCACAAAATAAAATATTTGAAAATTTCTGTTTTGTTGACCATGGCAGGTTTTGTACTTAGGTCATCTCAGCTTTTTGACAGTTGGGTATGACCACCTAAGAAATACAGACATGAACATGCGACATGGCACAAATACACCGACACAACAATTTGTGAAAAATGCAAGACACGATGCTTGGGGGACATTATATCTATTACATGTTATGAATATTTCATTCAAGATAATAAAAAAATGCAATAGACAATTAATTTTTAAGAATTACTATGTATAAATCTACATTGTCTTTTTTAACAATCATTGTATCCTTAAAGTTATTTTATTCAAGCTTATAATGTGTTTCATATGTGTTTTAAGTGATGGACATGGACGTCTCTTAAGTGTTCGAAGCATGTCTGGATCTAAAAATAAATAAATAAATAAAAAAATTTGACACATTGGACATGTCTCAGACACATGTCGAGAAGTGTCCTATGAGTGTCGGTGTTCAACACGTGTCCAGCACGGACACGCCACCTACTTGGAAGTGATTGTGCTTCTTAGCTGACCACCAATAAAATCTTTCATGTTATGAGTTAAGCATTAGACACATGATGTAAAGTTTTGAAATGAACAATCACCTTTTACCCTATATCTACCAAACTTCTCATAAGAACTGTTGCATCAATTGAAAGACACTAGTAGTATACCTTTCTGCACAAGTACAGAAAGGGATGTTCTCAGAAGCCAAAGGTTTTAAAAGGTCCCAACCAGTTAAGATCATTCTTAAAATTATCATCCAATGAAACAATATAAAGGGAAATTCATCCTCAATAAAATTCAGAAGTAGATTATCATTGTAGCAAAAACAGAAAGAAAACATTTCATTAAACCCCCAACTTACGGCCCGAATATTAATGCGAAGAGATGCGGCAGGGCCAGAACGTAATAAATTTCGGCAGGAAGTATACTGAGGTTGATTAATTTCCAGAGTTTTTCCTGCATTAGAAGGGGGGGAAATGCAAATTTCACTCCACCTTGTTTGTACATCCTAGAAATCTCAAATAAACATGCATTTCTAGCATAAAATGCCCTAAACATTACAACGCATCAAAAAGAAAAACAAATTAAAAAAGAGCAATGGCATCTAGATAGTGGACATATAAGCACATAACAAATACTGAAATAAGCATTACATTCTCCACTGGTCTACCTGATTAATTTAAATATAGAAGTACAAGACATATTAATATAGTCAAAGATATCCACCACTCTAGTTAGGTGTGAATGTGTATTGAACTTCCCTTGGCCTAATAAGAGTACTATTTTGTGCTCTAATCATTAATCAAGGTGTGAAAATAGATGGTTATTGATTAACCAGTTCTCATACATAAACAAATTCTCAACAAGATCCAGTTTGAGTATACATGTATGGACCATTAAAATGAGTAATAAATCAAAGAGAAACTTACTATGTGAAATGATTAAGAACATGTCATATCTAGCAATGATTCCTAATTTGAAAACTTCATTGAGAAAAAATATGGGGAAGCAAAGGAGTGACAATTACCTAAGTCTTGAATCTGCAACTGAGTCAATATAACAGCGGGTACATAAGCTTCTAGCGGTTCAAGCTTTTTTCTAGTTAATACGTTTTAAGAAGGATTAGCAACAACAGAAATTAGTATCTAAGTTCACAACAAAATTTTTGATTTGACCACTTTGATTGAAACTTAAAATTGTATACGCTATGTTCTCCATATTTCTCTAAAATTCAATAAAATGTCAAAAACCATGATTTATCCATTACCTTTTCACATATTTATCCAAAATGCTTCCAGCCATAGCATCTGTACAAGAGGGAAAAAAGGGAGGTTACTCCAATAGTTCAACAAACTAGTTGCTTTAAATTTGCAATCTGCTTTCGACTAAACGAAAGGAAAATAAATTATGAAACAGACAATTTTTTAAAATATATGCAAATGTAATATTGATTTAAATTGACAAATCTTTTTATTTTGTTTCTCATCCAACTAGGATGTGTTTGGACTTCCATTATAGATTGCAAGCATTATCAATTATCAACAACTTAGGGCCTGTTTGGACATCTCTTCCCTCAACATACCAAACACATTAAAATTGACTGTCATGCTGTCTGGGATAAAATTCACGGTCCAAACTTGAGGGAGCGTGTTAGAGATACAGCTGCATATGCTTGAAGACAGCCCCTAATTAGCAATTTTGTTCAACAAACATGGGCTTTGATTGTACATTCCTTGTATATATTTCAGTTATGTGTTCCTGTATTCAACCCCTTGATTTCTCCGCTAATTTGAGCTAGAATGACATTGACATGGCATGCTAGGTGTCAATTTTTGATTTGTAACAAATTCAACTATATAAGGCTCCACTCCCTTCCCACATCATTATGGGTGAATTTAGCAATCTAAATTGTGGGTTTTAACATTTCTCTAACATATAATGAGAAAGTGAGATGCTGTATTAATTCATGCTGCAGCAATTTCATATCTTTTACTCTGTTCTAATCAGAGCAGCATGAGAAAGAACAAAAACATACCCAGTTGGGAACAAAGAAGGAAGCAGAAAGAACCAACATGCCTGCAGTGGGAAGGGAAATAGCAGCACCCAGAAGAAGCATATTCATGAACTGCCTCTTGCCCATGTCCGGTATAGCACTGGTGTCCATGCAGGTGCACCTCACTCTCCTGATTCTCTTCTTGTCCTTCTTCCACACCATATGGGTCCTGACCAGAGCTTGTGAAGGAGAGTACAATTCATTGTTGCTAGAGCACAGCTGAAATGAGTAAAGACATAAAACGAATCCCACTGGGTTGAATTTCAAATTAGGTGATTATAAATATGATACATACACATTTATATATTTTTTTGATGGTGAATTAATTTACCTGCGATGGGGAGACAGGGCATAGGGTGGATGAAGAAGCCATGGAGAAGAGAGTGTAAGAGATGGCTTAGCTACCACAAATAAAAGCTGACAAGGCAGGTAAGCAGATGGCTACTACCACATATTTGGATATCATGACTTTTTAAAACTTTCTGCATATCTCCCACCCTGTTATTGGTTTTGGGTGCTTTATTTGGACAAAATTACACACCCACAAACAAAAATAAATAAATAAAAAGAAAAAGAGAGAAGAGAGTAATGCTAGAATAGTTCTTATTATGTAAAAATTTTAGATATCACGATTTTGTTTTTCAACGGTGCTAGGGACTCCATCACCCCCCAATATTTTTTCATTGGTCCGTAAATTTTTTTTTTTTTCTTTCTTTCCAATCACCCACGGCCACGTGGGCTGGGGTCACTGGGGTCCAGCGGGATTGGGGTCTGCCGCATTTTCTTTGTTTTTAAATTTCTCACGAACTCATACTCCCATCGACTTTGATTAGGATATAGTTTTTTTGATAAATTTTAAAAATAATTTTGGTAACTCTAAACTTATTGTTTATCAAATTAATATCCCATCTGATATGCTGATATGGCATTTGATATGTCACTCAGGGATGGTCCCTATCAAAAATCAGTTTCTCTTAATGGAAGTTTCCCCTCTCTCCCATAACGTTCACCCTTCTCGCACTCACTCCGCCGAGAACTTATTGATAGGTTTTGAAACATGGTTTCACGCCACGTTTATTTTGACAAGTGGTTAAAAATTAATTTTTTAATTTTTTGATTTTTAAAAAAAAAATAATAAAAAATGATGACTTAAAAAAATTAAAAAGTCAAAAAAAATAAAAAAATAACCGCGTTATTAAAACAGATAATTATACAGTAATAGTATTTCATAATATTATATTAAATATTGTGATTGGTGATTAGGAACTTAAAAAATTTATTAGATGATAATTGATTAAGAAGTGGAAACATGTGATATGTTAGAAATATTTAATAATTTTCCTATCAAAATAGACCTAAGTGTCTAGTGTCTGTCTAAAAAATAAAATAAAATAAAATAAAAAGATAAATCTCACTACTTTAACGAATAATAATTAAGTTGGATTACCACGTGAGCTTAACAGGAGAGGACACCACAGGTTCAGAGATGGTTGTCTGGATCTGATACATTGAGGAGGATTGGAGCCTTGAAGGGCTCGGAGGAGGACATCAGATCTCGGAACTTCTTGTCTTCTACATCTATGAGTGAGAAAGTTTAGGGCAAGAAAGGAACGAAGAATGAGGTTCGTGTATAGTATAGCTTCGGCTGGTGGCGGTGGAGATTTTGGCGCGGCGCAGTGACGGTGAGCTGTGCTCCTCTCGGTTATTTGTGGCGGTGTTTATAATAGTTTTGTTTTCTTATTTATTTGTGGGCCAAATAATTGGGGTGGAGTTGGGCCACACAAGTTTTAAAGTCCTTACTAAAATGTTGTTTGTTTGTGTTGGAATAGATTTGGAAAGGCCTTGGTCTCATCCCAATCTAGGAGTTTATTCACAACACTGTATTAGCCCAATCCAATTCATCACAAATTTTTTAGCTTTCCCTGCCCAAGCAAAATGGTAATTGAATTGAAACTTGTTCATTATGTTGTAGTGGTCTATATTACGGCTTCGATGGTCTTTAGGGATTTCTATCGGCCGGTCCTAATAATTGAATTTATTATTTATGAAGTTCTAAGTTTTTATCTCATGCACCAAGAAATTCTGTTATATATATTTTTTTTTGCGATTTTACCCTGCTACTAGCTAGTAAAAAATCTCTATTTAAATCATTCCAAACACTTTCTAAATTTTTAATTGTTTATAATATTTATTATTCATTAATTTTTCAATTTGTATTAACTTCTCTCTTGATTATTTTTCTAAAACTCTTCTTCTTTCTCATCTCTCTCTCTTTCTAGAAAATACCACTATTGTAACTATGGTCATGGCTATGGCCATCCACCCACAAACCACCACCATCGTTGTCTGTCACTAACCACCGCCACCTCCACTGGTCACTACTACCACCTTCGTCGACCACTACCACCACCATTGTTCACCAACCATCCCCACCGTCGTCGATCTATACTTCACCATCTCTCAACCATTTGACTCACTAGCTTAACATTGTTGTCTTCCTTCCTCTTTGCCATTACCGTCACCCTTCCTCCATCCTCCATCCTTCGTCTTTCATTACCGTCGTTCTTCTTCAATCATCGATCCACCATCTTCAACGTCAAACTTCACCAATGGCTTCAAATCTAGTTGTTTTCAATGCCGATCTACCATCTTCGACACCAATCTAGTACTTTACATGGTCGGCAATGAGATCGAGACTCTTTCTACAGTGTGTTGGTGAAGATCTACGTTTGTAAAACATGCTGAACTAATCTGATAAATTTATCACTAATTTGTTTAATATGTTATGGACTGCTGCTGTTAGAATTTTGATATTAATACAATGATAAATTTATCACTGATTTTTGTTCATGTTATATTTATCACCTCTCTTTTCCTCACTCACTCACTCTCTTTTTATTTCTCTTAAACCAAAGCTATTGTATTAGTGATAAATGTATCACTAATATATTTCTTTGAATCTTGTGTTGATTTGTGACGATGATAATGAGATTATTTTATTTTGTTTTATTTTATTGTAATCTTTTAACAAACAACTAGTGAGAAATTTATCGGTGAATGTGTTTATCACTACTACATTTATTACTAAATATGTTTTTGAATCTTGTGTTAATTTGTGACGATGATGATGTGATTTTGTTTTTGTAATTTTTTAATGAACAGTTAGTGATAAATTTATCATTTTTGTCACTAGAGAGAGATGAATATGCAATATGATTAATCTATCAGCGATAAATTTATCATTGATTGTTGAATATGCTGTATATTGTTGTTGATTTTTTATATTTATACAGTGATGAATTTATTACTGATTTGTCATTGTAGATGTGAATATGTTGGATGAGTCTAGAAAGAGGATAAGAGGAGATGGTAAAGGCATGGTTATGTTGATCTACGATACGAAGGCCAGCAATTTTCTACTAAGGCCTTTCCTTTTTTCATTTTCCTCTTCATCTTCTCTCTCTCTTTTCTTTTTCTTCTTGTCCTGTCGCCATCAGATCTTAGGAGATAGTGATAGTAGTGAGCGCCGGAGGTTGCCAAAGGTTATCACCGGTGACTAGAAGTACTTGTCGATGGCTAGAAATGGGAGGCAGTAGGTCATGGCAGTGATTTGATAATTGAGTTGTTGAAGAAGGTGTAAGAAGGGTATTTTGGGAATATTGAGAGTTGAAAAAATGAGCAGGACTTACAAGTAAATAAATCTGGTCAATAGGACCGGCTCGTAAGTCCCCCTTTTATTTTTATCGTCTGTTCTACTAGAAAAGTTTTAGTATAATGGTAATATAACATCATCACTTACTTGATATATCAATAATAATGTAATATTATTGTTATATTGAATTTTTACCTAAAATGAGGTCAAATTGGATCTGAACCGTTGATTGCAAAGTGAGGCTTTGGTTGCCGTATGTGAACTGCTAGTTATCCTAGACCAACTTCATGGACCTAAAGTAGTTGTCTCAAAGGCACAAGCCCAGTCTACTTGACATAAGTTAAGCCCACTATAGTTTGAAAGAAAGCACTCGGACCAAAATATATATATATATATATATATATAATTTTTTTGAGGATTAATCATGGGTAAGGAAGCATAATTAATCCTCCAAAAAAAAAAGAGGAAAAAAAAAAAAGGATATATCTTGCTTCCTTCGGCATTCTACATTCTGGTGATTGAGAATTTTATGTTAAGAGAGTCAAAGAATAGGGTCATCTATAATTAGCAAACTTTTTTTTTTTTTTCTTTCACAGCCGACATTAGGCAATCATGGTTCGTGATATAGATCACCTAAAGCACTCACTGTTTAGACCTAATCTATTGTAATTTTCGTCTCTTACAAAGGTTGAATTACCACAGAATCTCATGAAGTATTTTATTGTGCTTACCTGCTAAATTTAGATTTATATGATATAGTTAATCATGCTTAATGAAAATCTGTACATAGGCATTTTCAATACTGTCACTGCCCTTTATTACCTGGTGATGAATATAGGGCATATACTTCCACAAAAGGAAAATATAGGCCCAAGTTTGGTTTGACAACTAATTTTAAATAGCATTTTTTTGGCTAAAAAAAATTAGAGAAAATCAGAAAAGAACACAGCTTAATGAAAATAAAATAAAATTAACTGTTTGGTATTCAATTTTCTAATTATAAATTTGGTCTTTCTGATGGAGAAAGAAGAGGATGCTCTGCAACTTAAATGAAATATATATAGTTACAATAGGGTACCAAAAAAGCTGACAATAATGATACATCCCACTAATTTGGGAGCACTAATGGATCACTAATGAGGTGGAAATTCAAAAAAAAAAAAAAAACTTAAGGCCAAAACATCACATCAGTCAGTGGAACCCACTCTCTAGAGCTCCTTTAGTGCTCCCAATTTAGAGCTCCCAAACATATTTGAAAAGCTGATATGCCAAATGGTATTGACTTGACTCTTTTTTTTTCTTTTTTTTGTGTGTGTGTGTGTGTAACTTCTATTGTCAAAATGAAGGGCCTTTGTCAAATTATTTCACCAACCAAAGCCAGCCTTTAAAATGATAATAAAAATTTTATTAGCTGGTGTCTTAAATGAATTGTTAATAAATTTAAAATAATTTTATATTTTTTAGAGAACTTCGTATGGTAAACCAGTGTACATTTTTTCAAAATTCTCATTGATTAAGACTCTAAGAATAATAACGAAAATGAATTTCTATATTAAACAACAAAATTTTAATTTTTTTGTTTTTAAAAAAAAAATTTAACGAAACGCTATCAATATCTTTCTCTATCTCTAGATGTGTGGTTAGCTGGTGGTAATGGTACCAGGGCAATGGCTTCCAAAAACACATAATAATGAGGGATGTAGGTATTTGAGTTTGTCCCCAAGTAGGACGCTATTGTTGTTGTCGACATAAGAATTGCATAATGAAATAAAAAATAAAAAACAAAAAACAATGATAGTGTTCTATGCATCATGCATGGGGTGGTGTTGGCGTGAAACATACACTCAATCATCATGTGACTACATGTGTGTCTCTCTCTCTCTCATTCATTCTCTTTTCTCTAGCCTCAATAAAGAGAGACATTCACACTATATCATTTCAAGCGTGCACACTATACTATCCTTCTGAACAATCTCTGCAACAATCTTACCTTTTATCCATGGTCTTCTCTTATTACAAACTATAATCAACTACAAATCCACAGAGAGAGAGAGAGAGAGAGAGAGAGATAGGAAAAGTAAGACTTGTTTGGTTTTCCAAAGAGTTAAAATTGATTTCTTTAGTTTCTTTAGGCTTTCTCTTGCACCAATGCATGGAAAGAGGATCCATTTCTATTGTTGAAAGAAGAATATGCCCAAAAACAAAAGCAATTTATTAGAATAATTATATTTGTGTATCAAATTTGATTTTACAATGTATCACTATTGTATTGATAACAGATAAATGATTGAAATTCATTCAATCAATACAATTATGACAAATAAAATGATAAATCAAATATGATACTCCCTCCGTCCCAAAATAATGGTCCCTTTTGGGGAATCCAACTTTTTTTGGTAGTACAATTATTGCATTTGAAAAAAGTCGATTTTCCAAAATTATCCTTTTGATAGTACATTTTTTGGGAATATCAATGCATAATTGTACTTTTTATGTTGTTTATTAATTTAAAAGAAGGGTAAAATAGGAAATTTATATTATTTTTGTACTTGATTTTTGAAGAGGGACTAATATTTTGGGACAATGAAAAATGGAATAAGGGACTAATATTTTGGGACGGAGGGAGTATATAAATGTGGCTGCCATGACATTATTCATAGTAATAATTTCTATAAAATACATTTTAGGAAAAGAAGCATATTGAAAAATCTAGAAATCCCCTAGATGTTGATTTGTGATTATGTATCAATTTTAAGCAGAATATAACAATCCCAATCAAACAATCAAACAATCAAGACAAAGAAAACACAACAATTTAACGTGGAAAAAATCACAATTGGACACCTCCAACTGTGATCAAAAAACCACGAGCAACAGCCACAAGAACAATCCACTAAGAAGATTAAAACGAATTACACAGGTATACTCTCAATTACCTAGCGAATCCATAACGCCTAATTGAACCAACCTCTATGTGCCTCTTCCAAACCCATCTTCACCACGGAATTGTCTTTCTGATGA